GTCAGGGGTCATATGGATGTGAGACCGCTGAGCCCGTCCAGGGCAAGTGAAGACAATGTGTCAAATTCAGAAGATGGGATAGTTGAAGGCATGGAAGCAAGCCGTTTCATTCCACGGGCGGTTGGACTGGAGGGCAGATCACGGCAGGTCCAGAGTGAAAGGCCAGTGGAGGCATAGAGCCGCCAGGCGCATTTTGCTGGGCAGGAGGTGCCAGAAATACGGCAAGAGCTGGAGGGGAGGTGGGGCTATGGCTTTGTCATTTCTTTCTTTATTTTTTTAAGTTTATTTATTTATTTTGAGAGAGAGCACAAGTTGGGGAGGGGCAGAATGAGAAAGAGAGAGAGAATCCCCAACAGGCTCGGCACCATCAGTGCAGAGGCCAATGTGGGGCTTGAACTCACAAATCATGAGATCATGGCCTGAGCTGACATCAAGAGTCTGATGCTTAACCTCTGAGCCACCCAGGAGCCCCTGGCTTTTTCTTCTTCTTCTTCTTATTTTTTAAAAGATTTTTTTAAACGTTTATTTATTTTTGAGAGACAGAGAGACAGAGCATGAGGAGGGGAGGTGCAGAGAGAGGAGACACAGGATCAGAAGCAGGCTCCAGGCTCTGAGCTGTCAGCACAGAGCCCGACACGGGGCTCGAACTCACGAACTGCGAGATCATGACCTGAGCCGAAGTTGGCCGCTTAACCAACTGAGCCACCCAGGCGCCCCTGGTTTCTTCTTCTTTAAACATGGGTTGTCGGTAGGGAAGGAGGGGTGAGTGTGTGAGCAGTGTCTCTGACAGAGAGACAAAGGGCTTGGATCCAGGAGTGAGGGAGGGCTGGCTTCCACAGGGCAGGAAGGAGAGCCCAACAGAGACAGCGAGGGGCTTTCCGGTCCTTCCTGTTTACTTCATCGCAGTGAGAGGCACGCCATCAGCTGTGCATCTTTCCGTGTGTGTCTGAGTCAGTGTGTGGGTGTGTGTCTGTGCCCATGTGCACCTGGGTCTGTGTGTGTGAGTAGGTGTGAGTTCACAAGCATGTGTGTGCATCCTCATCTCTGTGTCTGTGTGTGTGTTCACAAGGATAGGTGCGTGTGTGTGCACACCTGCGCGAGTGTGTCACATACATGCGTGCTGAGGTCACCCTGGGGGAGAGAGGAGAATGAACACAGCAGGTAGCTAATGGCCCGGTGGGGTTTGTGCTCTTGAGGGTTATCATTTCCTCCTGCAGTGTGGTGGTCGGGCTAGAGGGGGTTGGCTGGTGTGGGGTTTGCCAGGGGAGTAAGGCAGTGTTCAAGGTCCTGAGGCAGGTCAAGATCCACCCCCGTCTAAGGCTGCCTCCAGAGACAGGAATGGAGCCGGCAAGGATAGTGGCAGCTCCCTCCTCACCCGTGGTGATACATGGCCCTTCCCAGCTCCGTGTCCTCCCTGGGTCTGTCCTTTCTAGAGAATCCCGGGTCCTTGGGGCCCCATTAGGCCCATGTGAGGTGAGCCAGGTGGGGGGTGGGGAGACTGGGCCTGTTTACAGAGTTAGGGCCGGTGGGTCCTCGGTCTGCCCAGCGATATCTGGAGAGGCAGGACCCCCATGACTCCACGGGGGAGAAAGGGCAGAAGACGGACAGACTCCGACTCCGACTCCGGGGGCAGGCTGGGGACCGGTCTCCTGCGGGGCAGGGATTCGCCACCGCGCCTGGAGCTGCGCGGCCGGAGCGTTGCTGCCACCTTGTGGGCGGGCTGGGGAAGCCCGGGCCGCTGCTCAAGAGCGAGGACTTAGCGTCCCCTCGTGGCCGAGTGCTGCCCTTGCGGGCGGAGACCAGCGTCATCGCAGCGCCCAAGCCGGTACCGCACAGTCCTGGGGGGCGGGGGCGCGGTGATGGCACAGAGTGAGGGGTCCCAGCCCCACCGCGTGGGTGGGATCCCAGCTCCAGGTCCCGTTCCTATGCAGTTCTAGCAAACTCTCTGGGCTTCAGTCTCCTCACCTATAAAGTAGGGCGAGGCGCATGGCCAGGGCTGCTGGGAGGGCGTCTATGGGGGCAGTTACGGGAGAGGCCAGCACAGCCTGGCCCGCCTCCGCGCTTGATACAGCAGGCCCTAAGCACCCCTGGGTTGGAATGACTCGCTTCTGACCTCTGACCCTTGCCACTTGCCCTAGGTTTCATGTGATTTGGGGAGCTGCCTGCAGCCTGCTCTCTCCCCCTTCGCTTCAGGAGGCAGGCCCACAGGCGAGGGAGGGGACAGGAGCACCTGTGCCGGAGCGGCCCCAGCCCAGCGGACTCCTGGGTACCCTCTGCTGCCAACTCACAGGTGAGACCCCTGTACATAAAGGCCCTTCTGGGCCCCGTGAAGTCAGGGCGCAGCAGGCCGGGCCAACAGGGTGGAGCAGAGCTCAGGGCTCTCCCATGCTCTCCTCCCCTCCCCCTGCCGTTGCCTTCAACCGCCGCCGCCCCCCCCCCCCCCCCAGCTTGAGCAGTGGATCCGCCCAGCAGGAGCTGCGAGGCTAACACTCCCTCCACTCCCCACCCCTCCCCGTGAGTCTGCTCCAGGGTGCGTGTTTACTCTTCCTCTAGCATCACTGTGCCGTCAGCACAGCCCCTCCCCCCGCCTCCCTGCAGGGGGCAGCATCATTTCAGCCCTGTTCGGCCCCACACTATGTGCCCCCAGGTCCTGGAGACTACTGGGTCTGTTCTGAGGCCCATGGTCTCCCTGAGCCCCCGACGCCCAGCCCTGGGGTGGTGGGGAGACACCAGGAGGAAGTCCCCTTGAGGAGGCATGGGCGCTCCCCGGGGAGAAAAGGTCTAGGCCTGGGAGCTGGGGGAGCGAGGGCAGGCCACCTCCTGGCCCTGGGGTTCTCCTGGGGCTCCAGCCCCTCCGGTGGGCTCAACCCAGAGGATAAGGTTGGCAAAGGCATGGGAGGGGCCGTGGGTGCTGGCAGACTCTCCACCTCTGCCTCACCACGTCTGTCCGGGGCCCCCGGGTGTGTAGCCTGGCCTGTGGGATGTGGGGAGGAGAAAGGCTCGGCCACGTGTCAGAGGCCAGAGGTGCCTGAGTCTCCCCCGTGGCCACCTGGCTGGATTTCACATCCCCCCCTTCCCAGGGGACTCCAGGGTCTCTGGGACCCACAGGCCCCAGGAGGAACCACTCCACCCTGCTGCCCACCCACCCAAACACCCACATGGACACAGCCCCAAAGAAACACCCACACTCGTTCCTGTGTTGGCAGTTGAGTCCGCTGTCCTCAAGCTCTCAGGCTATATGAGGCTTGAGTCTGGGGTTGGGGTTCAGCCTCACCTCAGTGGATGCAGGGTGAGGTCTCAGGGCTGGGGTCTCTGGCCTGCAGCTGGAGGTCATGTTGGGGGCTGTCAAGCGGTCATTGTGATCGTTGCCTGGACTGTCACCACCCAGAAGGAAAGTCCCTCTTTGATGGATGTGTTGTATGTATACATCTGCCCAACCCAGCCTGGTGGTGTCTGAGCGATGGCAGGAGTCAAGATGTCTTTTTCTGCTCCCATTTCCCACACACATCCCCCCCACCCCCGCGCATGCGCACGCGCGCGCGCGCACGCACACACACACACACACACACACACACACACACACACACACCGTGGGCGGATGGTCCCATGGCGATCTGAATTGTCTCCAAGCAGCAGCAGTGAGTGAAGTGCCCTGCAGGCTGCCCAAGTTGGGTTCCCAGGTGTCCCCTTGCTGACCAGATGACACGGCGACACTGCCTCAGGCTTCACCAGAGGCATCCGTGACCAGAGACACCAGTTTTACGCGGTGACTTCCATCTCCCTTCGCAAGCACCACAGTGCAGGAGTGTTCCTGGGCCAGGCCCTTCCCTGCCTCCTCTCATACTGACCTGGCCTTGGCAAAGGGCCAGGTTAGCCTCTCTAGGCACCTGTCTCCCCAGCTCCATACCCGAGAGCCCCTCAGGCCCTGACCACAGGCTCCTTCTCACCTCTCTGAGCCCCTCCAGCTGGAACCTGGTGGGGGGGGATTCATCCTGTTCAGGGTTCCTGGATGCATGTGACCCCAAGCAGGTGGGAGGCAGCCTCAGTTCCTTGTCCCACTTTTATAAGTTTCCAGAGCCCCTGGTGGAAGCACGAAGGGGGTGGAGCAGCACATGCCTGAGTGAGCCTGGCTGGGCTCCAGCAGCATGCCCACCTCCTCCTGGGCCCCGGCCAGGCTCCCCCAGCAAACAGAAGCTGCCTGAGAGCAGTCTCCGGGGGAGAGCCGCGGAGAGAGAGTCAGAGGGCACGCTGCAGAGGCTGGCACAGACCTTTACAAACAGGCAGCAGTTTCTGTTACACACAGGACCCCCAACAGGCACGGCCACAGCCTCGCTCAAAGCTCCAACATGCTTTCAAGAATCACCCTGGCTTTTGACCATCTCAGAGCCAGTTCTGTGTGTGAAAATGTACACTTCTGGAGATGTCCCCCGCCCCCCATGGGCTTCTCCTGCTCCTCCCCCAGAGCATGATCCCCCAGGGGTGGGCAGTCCTGAAAGCTCTAAGGTGGTCTGGACAGGTGAATGGAGCCAGGGGTCAAGGCCAAGGTCATGGGGGGGTCTGCAGATGACAGAGATAAAGCCCTGCTTGGCGAGAGGGATAGCATCACTCCCCACCCAGAAATGCCGCACCCACTGAGACCCACTGTACAGTGCCACGTTGACCCGTGGGGTTGCCCAGAGAGCTCTGGCAGTCCTCAGGGGGCCCCCACAAAGTGACAAAAGGGACTCCAGTGGGCCTCCACAGGGATGGGTCTGTTTGCTCCTTTCATGATGAATGCGCTGGTACTGAGAACAGAGAACCCTGTTGATGGAGTCTTGGCCTCAGGAGACAGTGGGAGGTGACTGGGAGCTCCGGGCTCACACAGGCCACGCCCACCCCGGGCTCCCCTGGGCGGGGCTCGCAGGTGCCTGGCTCTGGCCGTCCTGGGGAGGGAGACAGAGTCCCCACAGCTTGGGGAAGGGTCTGTGCATTTCCATACCAACACAAAGCGTACACACCGCTACTCTGGAAACCATGTGCTTTATTTGGAACCTCATTCCAAGGGAACCTCCCCCCTGGGTCATAGAAAAGCTGCAAACCACGTGGTTTGGTACAAGGCAATGGCTAAGGGACTGCAGGAAATCCCTTACCCCTGGGGCCCTCCTCCTCTGGGCCTCAGAATTCCCTGGTCATCCTGACTCTTGGCTGAACTGGGTATATGCAGCTGGGACTCCTGAGGTCCTGCTCGGCCCCTGGCCTCTCCCGCAGCTGAGGAGTGAGGAAGTGGGTATGGAACAAAGGCCAAAGTCCCCATCCAAGGCTCGGGCCTCTGTCTTCCACTTCGGGCCAGCGGCACGGAGCAGCCACGGCCCCTCACATCCCCTGAGCCCTGTTGCTCTGGGTACGTCTCAGCTCTCGGGTAAGGGACCACGGAGAGTGGATGCCTCTGCAGACAGGTGAGTGGGTGGGGCCGGCCGCTCATGGCCAGCGGGCCCCGCCCATCAGTACAGGTCGGCAAAGGGCTTGGAGTAGTTGAACATCAGGTAGTCCATGTAGTAGAAGTCGTAGGTGCGCTGTCTCTGCAGGGCCGAGAGCTGGGTGAAGTACTGGTGGGTGATCTGTGCTGTGGTCCGCGCCTCCTGCGAGTGCCGGTCTTTGAACTGCGGGAAGGTCAGGTTCCGCGGCGCCCGGATGAGGCTCAGGAAGAAGTTGGCATCCTCCTCCATGCTCTCAAACTTGCCCACAAAGTCATAGTCGATGAGGCAGGGGCTGCAGAGCCGGCTGACGTGGTCCCAGTGGATGTCCATGCCCACGGGCCGGTGCACGTCCAGCAGGTACTGGGCGAACTCGGGGAACCGCACGCCGGAGCCCGTCCGCAGCGCCTCGCGAGAGGCATTGGCCCGGTAGCGGGCCAGGATGGCCTTGCCGAAGACAGGGTGGTAGTAGCTATTGGGATGCTCGAACTTGTCGCGGAAGGCGGAGACCAGCCTCTCGAAGGGCTCGCGGACAAAGAGCATCTTGGTGTAGGTGCTGAGGCGGTGAAGGATGCCCTGGCGGTCGAAGGTGTCCAGCCGCCTGAGGGCGCTGCCGTAGTGCACGGTGTCGTGCTGGATGTCGGCGGTGGAGGAGGCCAGCCCGGCCATCACCATGAGCACCCGCTTCCAGTTGGAGCAGCCCGCCTTGGGCACCTCGCAGTACAGCACGCGGTGGCGGTCTTCCACGAAGATGCGGGACACGTGTCGGGGCGTGACCGCCCTGCGGCTGCTGCTCGCGCGGTACTTGGCGCACGCCTCTCGCATCACCCGCTTGCGCTCCTGCTGGCTCCGGTGCAGGGTGACCCAGTGGCCGTCCGCGGCCCAGGGCGCCGGCCGCACAAAGGCACCGGCTGAGCTGTTGGCCGGGACGGCTGCTGCCGCAGCGGGCGTTTTCTTGATAAGCAGCCGTCGCCGACGCTGCCGGGGTCGCAGACGGGCCCCCATGTTTAGGGGGGCTTGAGGACGGTCAGGTACCAGCAGGTTGAGGCCTTTTGGGGCTTGGCTGGACAAATCTCGGGTGACCTTCTCCGTAGGTGACTTCAAGTCACCATCCTGGGAACTGCCTGGTGGGAGATCCTGGGGCAAGAAGAGAAATGGTTATCACGGTGGACAGGACAGCTGGGCACTGAGGGTCACACAGGTCAGGCGCTCACAGTGGAGGGGGTTCATACCCCCTCTGTGACCAGAGGTTTTTCCTGGTGAAGGAGGAGACCAGCTGACCCTGTGGGATATGACCCTTCTGGTCTGAGCCTAGGTCCAGTCCCCAAAAGCCCCCACCCCTAGCTGGCAATGGCCTTGAGGTCAGAGGTGCAAGTGTCTTTGCAGCCACTAGATGGCGCAGGCCTCCCAGGAACCTCCACCTGGCGAGGCGAGCAGGGAGGGAGCTGGTGGCCTGGGGAGCCCGGCTCAAATTTACTGCCTCTATTAGCACAAGTCCAAAGCCGCCATCCAACAGGAAAGGGAAATTCATGGGGCCAAAGCCCTGGGCTTTGATCCCAAGGCTCCTGGGAAAGACCGGACACATTTTTCTTTCCAAGAATGAACTCAACATGAGCTCCAAATTTTATCCCCTGCCCTCCCCAACCTTCCCCAGGCTGCCGGTGCTGAGATTTATCGGACTCTCAGAACTCACGTTGTAGGGCTGCTGTGGCCTGATGCTGAACTTTATTCCTGAAAAGCAGAGAGGACAGTATTAGCAGCAGAAGTACCACATGGCTTCCAAGGACCTGCTCATGGGCTCTTGATGGTGGATACCTGGACTGGAGGGTACTAGCAGTGGGCTCTGAGAAAAGGTAGTTCGGGATGGGGGGCAGAGAGGAACGGGCATGGCTCAATGCGAGTCCCCTTCCACTCCCCTACCCACATGGAAAATGAGGGTGCAGCAAGATGTGGTCCCACAGGCTCCCAGCTGATGACTTGTCTGTATCTTACCTCCCGAAGCGACCTGGAATGTCTCAAAAGGTGTCCTGTCCAGGTGTACCCACACATCTGCTCAGTGGAACAGCCAGGAACCTCACAGGACTGCTCCACACCCCCTCACAACCTCACACTGTCATTAAGCCATGGAAAGCTTTGTCCATCCCCTCTCAATGCCCTCGATCTAGTCGATGTGGACTTTCTGTACTTGGAATCCCACACACTTATACCCACACCTTTGCACACACAGGCCTGGGAGTGGAACACATGCCTTCCTTTGGATGAGTGCCTCCCCACTTGCTCTGGGAAGTCCTCTAACCTCAGCACCTACTTCAAAATTTTGGCCAACTCAGCTGACCCTGGGGCTCTGGCATGAGCTGGCCACATCTGCTCACCCTAGTCTCCCCCAAAGGGCTGAGCAGAGCCCAGGCATGGGGGTGACTGTCCAGCAAGCCCTTGGCATTGGAGGGAGATGGAGACAGATCGGTGCATTGCTGACCACACTCCACAATGTCCCCCCTCTTCCCTTTAGCTTGGAGGGGACCAAAGTCATCCAGGATAACAGGCTCTGGGGAAATGAACCTTTGGTCAGAGGAGAGGATTCTGCTTCATACTCTGGTTTGTTTTGAGGGAAGTCCTAGGAAAACAAGAGAATTTCCTTTGGGGGAACTTATTTAGGAATCTTAGCCTCCTTCCCCATCCCTGCCTGGTCACTGAGGCATCAGGGGCTCTTCTAGGTCTCGCACCATGTAAGTCGCTGTTTCTACTCTGAGGCTTTGTCAAACGCCACAGTCACAATCAGAACCAGGAACCCTTTAAACAAGTGAAGATTTGAACTTCCAGTTGGCACAATGGGGTACACCTGTTCTGGCTGCTGCTGGGCTGTGTGCGCGAGATGTCCCCTGCTGCCTCTGTATACTTGGCATAGGCCCAGTGCCTAGAGCCCAGCTGCTGAGAGGACATCCAGGTCCTCTGTCCCTGACCCAGAAACTCTGCCGATTTCTCCATGAGGTCCAGTCTTACAGGTTCAGCCACTGCTATGACCCTGACCTCATACCAGTCAGTCTGAGGATGTGCTTATACGTCTCCTTCATTCACCAGCTAGCGAGGAGGTGGGGACATAAGGTCACCCCTGGGCTGGAAAGTCGACATTCCCAGGTCCTACTGGGAACTTCTTTGAGTTCCAAAAGTGGCACAAAGGTGGAACTTGGGCACTTTGCATGTTTCTTTTGTTGCAATACTTCTTTTTGATCCCTTTGTGCTGGGAACAAGGGTGTGCCCTTCCCTGGGCAGAGGACAGAGTGTCCTTGCCTTCCTGGGCATCTTCAAGCATAAGCAGTATGTGTACAGGTGGGAGAGCCCTGAAGCAGGATAGACTCTTCCACAGAGGCTAAGGGGGAGCCCTGCATAGAACCACCCCTTGGGGCATGCAGTGGGTACTTGACCCTGAGATGGGAGTCTTTTCAAATTGAGTCCCTCATCAGGGTCCACTTCTCATCCCAGAGCCTACTTCCCTCCTGCCTCTACCCTGCTCCCCCCTCATTCCAGCCTGAGCTTCTAGAGCTCCTTTCTTTCTGACACATGAGGGTTTCCTCCTGCAGCCAGTGATCACAAATCCCTTCCCCAGAAGGGACCTGCCACACATTCAGTTTTCCTCCACACTGCTGGGTTTCCTTAATTATTTTCTTCTGGTGACGGCAGCTGGCTCTGCTAAATCACCTCTCCTCCTCAGAGTCTCAGATACGGGAATTTACTCTGCTTGTCAATCCAGTCAACTTGTCAAGGTCCGGTGGCACTTATTTATATTCCTTTTCTAGAGCAAATGAGTCATGCCAGATTTGGCCAAGAGTGGGACTCAAAAGCCACTCTCAAAAGGCACCCTGCCAGCCGGTGGAGCTGGGCAAGGATGTGCTCATGGGGATGTCAGCCCTCACAGCTGCGACCTCCCACTGGCGCTGTCCTCACAGCCTGGAGGGTGGCGGGCTGTGGGACCTGTCCCATTTCCTCCGTGCAGACTAGACAGAAGGGTGGTGAGCCTCAAGGGAGTTTCGAGGTTGGCCCACTTGAAGGCTGGAGAGAACATCCCTGCTGGACAGAGCTCGGGATGGACAGAGTCCCTGGCCTCTTGGCCACTTTTACCCAGGAAAGCCAACTCGGCTGCAATTGTCCCCTCTGACAAGAATAATTGTCTTGTGGAAAACCCAACAACAGATCTTATGTGGGGCCCGAGTTTGCCACTAGCTGTATGTTCTCAACCTTTAAACTTACCGCAGCTCATTTGGCAAAGACTGACCCTTTTTCCATATGCCATTTTGGAAGAAAGACAGGAAGTTAATGAAGGATATGTAACAGGCTCGCCCCCCTGCCAGGGGCCCCCGGCCCTACTTTTTCTGTGGAGGAAGCTATTCTTCCATGCACTGCTTGGATAAAGGCCAAAACAAAGATCACCCCTTGCTCTGAGCAAGTGAGGCTGTCTTGGGTGCCTTGAGGCTGGGGTCTGCATACCCCTCAGCGGGCTGCACTTCAGGACGCTGGACAGCTCTGTGGAGTGACCAGGGAAAGGCAGTTAAGGGTCCTGCCTCTGCTGCCTCCACGAAGAAGGTATTGGCACCAGGAGCCATCAGACTCAGTGCCATGGGGGACTTGTGTGTGTGTGTGTGTTGGGGGGGGGGCACTTGGCTACAATATAATCACCACCAGCCCCTTCCAAGCCCTCGAATGAACATGCAATCAGATAAAAACAGTGGGCTTGCTGAGCAACACAAGCCACATCCCTTAGCCTCCTTGTCCATCTGATGTCACCAGTGCTGCCACATGCCTCCGCTGTCTCCCTCACCCCCACCCTGAGGCAGAGGAATCCCAAGGCGGTCATGTACATGCTCCACATTCAGTGTCTGAGTTACCTGTCTTCTCCTTTCAACATAATGTTAACAATCTGTAAGGGAGCTCCGTCCCCTGCACGGTAAGGAAAAAACAACCACTTTCTCTTTCTGGACAGATGACATTTGCAGAGTGGATGAAACACACACTGTACAGTAAGAGTGAGCATTGTTGAGAATAAACAAGGCGTGAGTTATTGAGACTGCCAAGTGGGCTCCACACTGTGAACTCTTCATTGGCTGAGGGTTTTCTTCTGAGTGTTTGGCTGAAAGCTTGCTGTTTACCTGCCAAAGGAAGGCAAAGCCTGATGAGGGTGTACGTGGCCAGTTCCTTATAATTAGGCTGTGAAGCCTGGGTCTGGAGCAGAGCTGCGGAGGGGACTTTCATGGTCATGTGGGCTGCTGCCTCCTCCTCTCCGAGTCACAGGAGAGACACCTGCTGGGTTCAATCCAAAAGTCCTAATCTCTGATGCCCAGGACCCACTGGGGGTCAGGCTGTGTAGACCGGTGACACTGACGTGAGTCAAAACAGGACCCAAGTCCCTAGAAAGTGCTGGAAGTACCACATGAACCCTTGGTTGGTCATGTTTGAGGACAGTGACTGCTATTCTGGCTGCTCAAATCTCAGTCCCGGGTCCTGATAGTGGGGAGAAGGTCCTGCTGCTTTGAACGCTGTGGCCTGGGGGCAGGCAGGCAGGGCTGTCCTGGAGGAGTCAGAGCTGCAAAGGGAAACAGATGGGAGAATGGAAGGGGCCAGGAGGGCCACGGGGCATGGGTGGGAGTCCACACTCCCTGCTCTGTGCGGTGTTGGGCTTGTGGTTGTGGACCCTCAGAGCATCACCGAACTGTTTCCTTGGCCCCTTTTCCATATCTTGGATCTTCTGGTGGCCGTGTCTGTGTGGCCATGACCATCTGTTCTGTCTGTCCACAGGTCCGCTTCTGCTGCCCATCAGGCCAGGAAACATCCAAGGCTTTCTGGCCGGCCTGAGCCAGGGAAGACACTGAAAACGAGGCCCCCCACTGCATCTTGGTTTTCCCCCATGTGTGAGATATGGAGTCCAAGCTTCGGTCCCACCCCAGAGTCCCTGGCAGACGTGTCTGGTGGATGAACAGTGTTGCCCTGCTCTGCTGTTTACATCCTACTTAGAGAGTAGTAGCTCCCGCCCCGAACACATGTGCTGTGACCAAGGTCTCTGTGCCATGAGGCAGCTGGTAGCATAGAGGTTCTCACGCGGTGGTGACGAGACACAGGTGTGAGTCAGGGATGCCGGCAGGAGAAACTGAGCCAGGAGGGTGTGCTGCTCACTGGTGTCCAGGGAGGAAGCCCTGAGGGAGCTACCAGGCCCCAATCCATAGGGAGCACAGAAGGGCTCTGAATGAGGGGCTCAATTCGTCCTCCATGACTCAGATATGTATATGGGGGGATTTATTTTAAGCAATTGGCTCATGCAATTGTGGGGGCTGGTAACAACAAAATCTGCATGCTGGAGATGCAGAGAAGAGACCATGCCGTAGGCCGAGTCTGAGGGTCACCTGGAGGCAGAATTCCCTCCTCCTTGGAGATCCTCAGTCTTTTCTCTTAAAGCCTTCAACTGACTGGATGAGGCCCACCCACGTTATGGGTAATCCGCTTTACTCAAAGTCTACTGACTTAAATATTCATTACATCTAAAAACATACCTTCACAGTAACATCTAGACTGGTGTTTGACCAAAAATCTGGGCACTATAGCCTGGTCAAGTTGACACCAAATTAACTATCGCAAAGGGTATAATAATTTTTTAGGGCTTGTGGTAACAAAGCACCACCAAACTGGGTGGCTTAAAATAACAAACATTTAATTCTCTCACAGTTCTGGAGGCTGTATGTCTGAAA